ATCCAGGGGCTGGGCTGGTCGGCAGAAGACGGGCCGCTGGCCGACCGCACGGGTGCTCGTCTGATTCCTAGCAAATGCGCCGCGTCGCTGCTTCCGCAGGCTACGGTCACCAGAAGCCCGCTGGAGGCGCAGGGGGTCTTCTGGAGGCGCTTTTGGAACGTCTTTGGAGGTCTCCGGGAGCTTTCGGAGGCGTCTCTGGACGCTTCCACAGTATTTCAGTTTTCTCGGGGGGCGCCCAAAATAAGTGGTAACTTTATTGGTTTTGAGTCAACGGTTTTACAACTTACGCTCGTTCGTTTCCGGGGGCCGTCGGGAGCCCGCGGGAGGAGCCAGGGGTCTTCTGGAGGCGTTTCTGGAGCGTCTCTGGAGGTTTCCGGGAGCTTCCAGAGGCATCTCTGGAAGCTCCCAGAGTATTTCAAGTTGCTCGGGGGGCGCCCAAAACAAGTTGTAACCGGAAGCCTCCAGACACCCTCGGAGACGTTTCGGGAGGCTCCTGACGGCCGCCCCGAACCGCCCGAGGTCTTCTAGGACACGAAATAAGCGGTGCCATCGTTTCTTTGGCGAGGCCAGTTTCACCATTTATTCTTGCTCGCGTTGAGGCCGTTTCTGAATGCCGCCGGAAGCCTTCTGAAGGTTGCCTGGAGCCTTTTTGGTCTCTTGGGAATGAATCGGGAGCCCTCGTGACCCTCATGGACAGCTGGGACATGAATCGACTTCTTGGACTTCTGGGGCCTTCTGAGACCACGCGGTTCCTTCTGGGACCTCCAGGTTGTCCTTTGGTACTTCCAGTGCTCTCTCACGAGCCACGTTGGCAGGCGAGGGCTCCCTGTCCTTTCCGGATCCAGGAACGCGCATGCATATGCATCTGCTTACGCACAACACATACATGTGAATACTAGCGGGGTTCTACTTGTTTACACACATATGTATATACAGCAAAATACACATATGTATACGCATGTTACATTATACAGACATATCCGCTTACATGTGCACAGCCATGACCATACATACATACATACATACATACATACATACATACATACATACATACATATATGCATACAACGACACATACAGATACACACATATCCCTATGCAACTGCACATATATGTGTAATATTCACACTACGTATTTTCATACATGTATACATATCCACTTGCATATACAAGCACCGTTAAACATACATATCCATATTGATATACATATACAGGTACATAAACAACTACATGCACACATACATGCTTATCTGCAAATACATAAACACACATCTATAGACAGTTACACCTGCATTTACATGTACACATACATGTGCACATACGTATACATAAACATGTGCATGCACACATACATACACACATACACATACACATACATATACATATACATATACATATACATATACACACATACACATACACAAACATATACATGTACATGTACATGTACATATACATATACATATACCTATACATATACATACATACATATACATATACACATACATACACATATACATATACATGTACATCGACATATGCAGATACATAAGTTGATACATACACGTATGTATCCCGGGAGGCCCCAGGAGACATTAGGAGGCCCCAGAAGATCCCACGAGGGAGCCCCAGGAGGCCAAAGGAGGCACCAGGGGCCTCCAGGAAGCCATAGGAGGCCTCAGGAGATATCAGGAGGCCCCAGGAGGCCCCAGCCCCCCGTGAAACCCCAGGAGGCTCCAGGAAGCCCCAGGGGGCGACAGACCTTGAAAGGGTTCGGGAGGCTGTGTCCGACATGTGGTTCTGGTCGCTGGCACGGGAGGGGGGAAGTGGGGAAGGATGGAAGGGAGGAGACGGAGGAACGGAGGAGGAGGAGGATCAGGAGGATCAGGAGGATCAGGAGGATCAGGAGGATCAGGATGAGGATGGTGATGGTGTCGGTGGCGGTGGCAGTGACGGTGACGGTGACGGTGACGTTGACGGTGACGGTAACAGTGACAGTGGTGGTGATGATGATGATGACGACGATGTTGATGATGATGATGATGATGATGATGATGATGATGATGATGATGATGATAGTTATGAAGATGAGGATGGTGATGGTGATGATAATGATGATGGTGATGGTGATTATGATGATGATGATGATGACGATGACGATGATGATGATGATGATGATGATGATGATGATGATGATGATGATGACGGTAGTGATGATGATGTTGATGATGATGGTGATGGTGATGATGCTGGTGGTGATAATGGTGATGCAGGTGTTGGTGATGGTGATGGTGATGATGGTGGTGATTGTGATGGTGATTGCGGTAGTGATGGTGAAGGCACGTTTGCCCTTTATTGTGATGATTGTGTTGATGGGTTTGATGGTTGTATTAATGATGTTGAGTGTGATGATGTTAGTGGTGGTGTGGACGATGCAGATGATGATGTTGATGATGGTGATGATGATGAAAATGCTAATGCCGATGATGATGGTGGTGACGCTGACGACGGCAATGATGATGATGACGGTGGTGGTTATGATGATGGTGATGATGATGCTGCTGATGTTGTTGACGAAAATGATGATGATGATGATGATGATGATGATGATGATGATGATGATGATGATGAAGATGATGATGATGATGCTGATGATGATGATGACGATGATGATGACGATGATGATGATGATGATGATGATGATGATCATCATCATCATCATGCTGATGCCAGGCCTGCGACTCTGTGCCAGCTCCGCGGCGAGGAGAGCGGGACCCTGGCCCGCCGCCACCACAGGTGCCCTGCCTGGGGAGGCTGGAGGCAAGGTCGCAGCCCCGCCGACTTGCTGCGAGCTGCCGAGTTGGTGGCAGAGTTCGACGGCGAGGTCGACTTCCTGCACGCCGCCGCGGCGGAGCCCGCCCCTGGGACAGGTGGATTCAGCCCACCGAAGTCGCAGTCCCAGGGGCGCGGCGAGTTCGGGAAGTTGCACGACGCGGAGGTGCGCGGGCCTGTCGTGTCAGCGGCTGGCAACATGCAGATGCCCGCCGCGGAGGCTGACGTTGGCGACGGCGAGGCGCAGGCCGCGGCGGCTGACGGCGGCCCCCTCCTCGCCACGGCGGCTGCCCTGGCAGCAGTGGCGGCAGCGGCCGCTTCCTGCTCGCGGCCGTCGCCCGCGAGGCGCCGCCCCGCCTCGGCCGATAGGCCCGCGGAGGTGCTGCGCCGAGCACCCCAGCGCAGGGTGCAGGAGCAGTCGAGGCGCCGCGAGGCCTCGGCGCCCGCGCCCAGCCCGCGGCGGGCGGCGGCAGCGGCGGCTTGCAGCGGCCCAGCCCCTGAGGTGGCGGCTGATGCGGCCCGTCCAGCGGGATTGAGGGTCTACGGCCACCTCATACGGGGGTCGCGCGTCGAGGGCAACGGCTCCGAGCCCCCCCTGGTCTGCTCAGCGTGCTGGGGGTACTGCCGCCTCCCCAGGTGCGCGCATCGCGGCCTGGCCATGCCGTGTGGGGCCAGCGCGGCGGCTGGGCAGCCCACGTCCCTGAGGGGCTCCCGAGCCCAGGCGCGGACGGACTTCGCACGGGGCACCCTGCCTGCGTCCAAGGATCCGTTCGCGCCGCTGGCCCCGCCGATGGAGAGCACGCGCCTGTGCTGGGCGACGGCGCTCCAGGCCAGGCTGGGCCACGGGGCGGAGGAGCAGGCGCTCGCGGCGGCGCCCGTGCCATCGCAGCGGCAGCCTGCGGCCGCCCCGCCCCCGCCACCTGCGGCTGGCGATGGGGGCCAGGCGGCAGCGCCGCCGTGCGCCGCGGCGCCGCGGCGCCTGGTCGCGGCGGCCCCGCGGGCGGAGGCCGAAGAGCCGCGGCAGGTCCGCCCAGGGCTCGAGGGCGTCCTCTGCGCCCGCGGCTTCGTAGTTGCTGCGGCGGCCCGCGGGCGCGAGTGAGCCGCGGGGTCGGCGGCCGCCCGCGCACGCCGCGCGGCGGGGCTCGCCGTGCGCTGATTGGAGAATTTATGCATGAAACCGCCGAGCCCGCTCGGCGCCCACATAGATAAAACAAATACTTCCGCCGTATTAAATCACAAGGAGGAGGACCAGGAGGAGGACCAAGAGGAGGAGGAGGAGGAGGAGGAGGAGGAGGAGGAGGGGGATAGAGCATATGGAGGGAGGAGGAGGAGGCGGAGGAGGAGGAGGACTGGAATGATGAGGGCGCGGAGAAGGCAGCTCTGGGGATGATGGTGAGGAGGATAGTGATGAGGATGAGGATGATGATGATGATGATGATGATGATGGTGATGATATGATGATGATGATGATGATGATGATTGTGATCATGATGATGATGCTGATCATGCTGATGATGCTGATGATGATAACGATGATGATGGTGATTATGATGATGATGACGATGATGATGACGACGATGATGATGGTCGATGGTCGATGGTCGATAATCGATGGTCGATGATCGATGATGACGCTGATGCTGATGCTGATGATGACGATGATGATGATGATGGTCAATGGTCGATGGTCGATGGTCGATGACCGATGATGATGATGATAATGATGATGTCAATGATGATGATGATGATGATGAGGGTGATGATGATGATGATGATGATGATGATGAGATGGTGGTGGTGGTGGTTATTGGTTGTGGTGATCGTGAAGGTGATGAGGGTAGGGTGATGGTGACGGTGAGTGATGAGGGTAATGATGATGGTGATTGATGTGGGTGATGATAGTGATGGTGATGATGGTGATAGTGGTGATGATGGTGATGATGGTGATGGTGATGGTGGAAGACAAGGATGATGAGGTGATGGTGATGGTGGAAGACAAAGATGATGAGTAGGAGTGTGAGCCCAGGCTCGAGAGGAAAGAGGCGGATGAAGAGGAGGAGGAGGAGGAGGAGGAGGAGGAGGAGGAGGAGGAGGAGGAGAGGCGAGAGGGCGGGAGACGAGAGGGCGAGTTGTTGCCCCTTCGCCCATGGCGCTGCGGGCCGCGCCAGGCGCGCGTGGCTGGCGCACCGAGGGGCGCCGGAGGCGGCCACCAGGCCGACGCCCTGAAGGTGACGGAGTTCGCCAAGGCCTTCCAGGCCGGGCGCGGTCCGGGGCGAGGGCCCAGCCGAGCAGCGGCGGGCTCCGCGCCACCTCGCCGCGTCGAGGTGGGCACCCCGGCGGCCATGGCCTCCAGGCATCTCCCTGCCCGCTGGGCGCGGACGGCGCGGACGAGGGGGGCCCAGATCTCCGACGATGTGATTTTTGTTCTGTCCCGGCGAGCTTGCCTCGGTTTCCGCCCTCGGGGGCCGTCTTCGGGGCCCCGGGACACTCAAACCGAGAGGGGCCCTGCAGGAGAGGGGTCCTGGAGCCCGTTGCCTCGGGCGACGCAAGAAGAAAGAAGAAGGAATTCGCACATTTCCGTTTGGTTTCCTTCTCGTGTTCCGGCTTCCGAGTCGTCTTCCTCCGCGACAGCGGCACAAGCTCTCCCTGGAGGTAGTGTTTCATCTCGGATCCGATATTGAACGTCCCAGGGCGGCCTTCGAATAAGCCCCCAGAGGCCGAATAGAATAAGTGAAAACAAAAGAACAAACCTTCGAAATTCCTAACATCGACGACGACGGTTGTGATGACGGCGACGGACGACATACGACCTACGACGGACGACTAACGTCGGACGCCTTCCGCAATCATGACGAATTCGATCGTGCCGCCTGCCTCGGTTGACTCGCCTTCTTCCCTCCGCTACGGGCTATCCTGCGAGCTAGCTGGAACTCGAGCGCGCGTGCGAAGCGCGCGCGATGGTATATACCAGGAGGGAAAAATAGACACAGACACATAAACATCGGTTCCCAGGAGCATATGGGAAAATGTGGAAAGCGGAGGGGAAGACGAACGTCCAGAATCTCAGATACACATGTGCGGAATCATGGGAATTGTGTTTTGTGTGTCTCTGGTTCCTTGCAATATATATATATATATATATATATATATATATATGTATATATACATGGCGGATTTTGGAAAGCATGAAACCAAACGTTATCATTTCTTCGGGGCGCATCTTTTACTTCCGCCACCTTCCGCCGCCCTCCGCCGGCGGAGGCGGCATCGTTTTACTTCCTTTTTTTTACGTCGCTACTCCCTCGAACATTCGGCTGGAAGTTTTGCGATGGGCTAGCCTAAAGGCCTACCGATGTCTCGGCGCTATCACTTGCTACTTACAAGGTGCTGGGAGCCCTACGGGTGCCTCGGGGCAAAGGCAAGAGAGCCAGAAAGCTAGGCATGGCCTCCAAAATCCTACCCCTGAGCACCCTCACCCCTGTGAGGATGGCACAACAGGGGCAGCCGCCCCAGTCCCCTCTAGGACCGAGGGGTCCGCCGGCCACCTACGAGAGACCAAAAACGAGCACTAAGTCCCCGGACGAGTTTCGGATCTCTGGACGGAGAGCTCTTCTCCTTGTACCAAAAATTGTGAGATCAGACTTTGCCTGCTACGGGACCGCCCCCCTAACCCCTCAGTTGCTTGTCGGTTCACTTCTTCCTTGCCTTCTTCGCTCCCTTGCCCCGGCCCCCGCCCTTCTTGAAGACCATTTGCTCCAGCTGCTTCGCCGCCTTCGAGCGCGGGGCGGAATCGAAGTCGAGAAGAATCCCCGCCGCGCGGAGGCCGCCGTTGGCCCGCAACCTGAACAAGGCCTCTCGCAGCTCGGGGTGCGAGTTGGTGGCGAACACCCACTTGATCGTCGCCGGCTTGCCCTCCTCCTCGTTGGCCACGCTCACTTTGAAGCACCTGGTGGCCACCACTCGGTCTTCCTTGTCCTGTGCCTTGGCGCTCCACTTCGCCAACACCTGTACTGCCGCCAGGGCCTCGTCCGGAGAGGGGCCCTGTTTGATCGCCGCCTGCACCTCGGCGTTTTTTAGGGTCACTGCCTCGTTCAGGCGGTAGAGAAGCATCTTCAAGAACGCGTCGGGCCGCTTGCCGAGCGGGTGGCCGCGATACTCCGTCTGATCGGCCTCGGCCTTCTCCTGCGCCTTCTGCCCCTCGCTCTTGTAGTGCTGCGCCCCCGCTTCGAGAGCGATCGCGATCTGGGCGTCCTCCCTGAAGCACGCCACTACGTTGTCGTCCCTCGCTCCGTTCCGGATGACGTCCTCGTGCTGGAGCACCAGCTTGGCGAATACCTGGTGCAGCTTGGACACACCCTTGCTGTCGTCCTCCCCCCCTCCTGCCGCGGCCTCCTGAAAGGCCTCGTCCCCCTTCCTCTTCACGAGCTCCGCCGCGGGCACGAACATTGCCACGGGAACTTTGCACACAACCTGGTGGTGCTGGTGGAGGTGCAGGTGCTTGAGCCTCAAAATCCTGCGATGCACGCTCCCGGCGGAGAGCCGGACATCTTCCTTTATCGATGTGCTTGATCAGAGAATCCTTCCGGGCGAACACGGCCTGGCAGTGGGGGCATGTTTTGTTAGTGAGGGCAGCTGATGGTAGATGGAGCCGATTGGGTTCAATACCATGGGCGCTGAACCGGTGGTTGGCCAATCCCTTGGGCCCGTTGCAAACGCGACCGCAATCCGGACAGACCAAGCGATTAGGCTCTGCAATTTCGCCCTGCTCCAACGAGAGGTCGCTCTCGGCACGATACGACAGTACTTGTTTGAGGTCGGCCTGAGACAGGTTGGCCAGCCACTGCAACCACGGACGCTCGATGGCAATAGGTAATGAAGGTGCTTCTGCTTTGACCTGGGCTGAGGCGGCGTCCCACAAGCAACACAAGTCAGCGTGCAACTGAGCAAGACGTCCGTTGGGAGTCAGGCGTGAATCAATTTCAAACGACAGCTTTCCGAAGACGACTGCCCTGACAGCGAGCGTGGGGTCATAGTGAGGCGGGGAAGGAGCCAGACCTGGAATGATAACTTTCTGCCACCATTTCAACCGCCGGAATAATAATGTTGATGCAACTGAATGAACTTTAGCTTTTTCTCGTATGCTCGCATTAGGTACATGGTGAATGTGTGCTGGTGACTTCAGAAGATGTCGAAGTTTACGAGTTTGCCATCGTTCTAGCCGCTTTAGGTCCGTCTTCGTCGGCATCGCGATCTCTAAAGCATATAAGGCAATGGAACGCACCAGCGAACACCAAAGCCTGACCTTGAGTCTGGTGCTCAAATTTCCCTTGAGGACTCGCTGTGTCAAACGACCGTGCGCCAGATTTGCACCTTGCAGTCGAGCGGATATCTCTTCGATCACTGACCCCGTCGCGCTAAGCTTCACTCCAAGATATTTCACCGTGGGGGTAGCGTTCAAAATCTGGGATTGGCCGTCCTGCCGGGCCATACGAATGCCTGTGCCCTTCTTACTGACCACCTTTCGCGCCCGGCGGCACCCCTTCCCCGAAATCGTAATGAGCATCTCGGTCTTGGGGACGTTCAAATTGAGGCCACTCGCGTTGACAGACTGCTGCAAAAACTCAAGGAAAGCGGTGACCTGGTCAAAATCTGAAACCACGACGAACCCTATCAAATCATCCACGAACTTGACCTGTGAAACATCCAGCTCGGCAGTCGCATCTAGGTTGAAATTGTTTGAGTGCCGATAATTGTTGAAGACTGGATCGTACCGTGCCTGGATCCCCACAAACCCCCCTTCACGAAGATCTTCCGATATTTTGTTGGTGATCATATCGTAGATAGCGATGAACAACATGGGGCCTTCCACACTACCTTGCCGAACTCCCTTTTTCACTAATAGCTGTCGGCACGGTTTGTTGGTGTGGGGGTCACGCACTCTGTAGCAAGTTCCGTTGTAAAGCTCTTCAATGGTGAGCCTAACCCCACGATCTACAGCCAGCCGTTCCAACGCGATCCAAACCTTCTCCCGCGGGATCAGATCGAAAGCCTTCTCTAAATCGAAGAGAACCGCAGCTAGGACCGAGTACTGGATCTTGGTGCCCTTTAGAGAATCACGAAACCGGCGTAGCACTTCATCTACCACCACGATGGCGTCCCGGGTGGATCGCCCACTGAGGGCCCCAAATTGCGTACTAGATAGCTTACCTGCAGTAGACCGTAGCACTGGCATCATCGTGACATTAGTGAAAACCTTCCCCATATGCCCAATTAAATTGATTGTTCTGTAATGGTCCCTTGCGTTTGTCCCGTCCCCCTTCGGTTTTCTAAGTGACACGGTCTCCCCATTTTTAAAACGTTGTGCTACACGGCCATGCGCTTGACAAGCTTGGAAAAGTCCGTGCAATGGTTGGCATAGCTGGTGGGCTCCAATTTTCCACAATTCTGCCACCGCACCTTCTGGGTGATCACGCGGCCCTGAAGAAGGCGAAGAAGAAGAACTGGATACAGCCGGGTCGCTCCATTTAATCACTGGGGCGCTCTTGAAGTTGGGCATGCGAAACAAGGCGGCTTCGACGTCTTCGAGCGAGTACGACCCTACGCGGGTTTCGTCACATTCGTGGAGCTCCTGAGGGCCTCCCGTCGCCTCCAAGGGTACTTCGTCCGCCTCAAAAATGTCACACAGTGCCTCGATACGAACTTGCAGATCCTCGTCATCATCAAAACACAACTCATTCGTTCGTGGGTTTTTCACAGTCATGATCGGGGTGAGCGGTTTCGGCGCCAATCGTCTAATGATGGCATAGCTCTTCCGGATATCGTTCATCGACTCGGCTCGTTCAGCATCGGCAACCAGTTCTGCTGTCCATTGTCGTTTCTCTGCTCGGACAGCTCGTTTGGCTGCGCGCTGAGCAAGGCGGAAGCTGGAAGCAAGAGAGCGTGAAAGCCAGCTAGACGGGTCAGGCGAGTTTGCCATCATCCGTTGCAGACACTGCTTGTGCGTGATGAGCGCCAGGGTTGCCTCTGAAAGCTTTCGGCGTCGGGCCTGGGTAGGGGCCGCTAGAGTGGAATAAACAGGGATTGCTGCATCCACCACCGCCCCTTCCAAAGAATTGAAGTACTCGGATGTCGTCGAGTAGTGTTTGCCCTCCCCACATTCCTCCCGCCATTGACCCCGAAGACCCCGATCATCTAGAGCAGCTTCTAATCTAGCTTGGAACTCCACCACTCGTTCTGGCAATGGTGTGTCGGTAGC